TACAGCTCTTTGGTGGCCACCATTTGTAGCAGTATAGGCCCATGTCATCATCATGCTCTGGTCCACAGAAATAGCTGCAATATTCCTAGGAAACTGTGGCAACTTCCATGTAGTTTTTCAGATAATATCCCTCATTTTCATCACATTTATCCTTTGTGTACATGTTTGTTGCAGTGCATAATGGAAAATTTGCCCTAGCAAGAAGTGAACATTTAAAATATGCAATTTTAAAATTTTTATGGTAAAGGTACATGCAACTGTATCAATTAACATTTATTTTAATTCTTACATCATCTACACATAATTATATTTGAATTTACACGTGTAAAATGATCACACACTGACCAGCAAGTGGCATAATCATAGGATGACATTCTAGGGAACCAGGCATAATCATATATAATTTCACCTTCTCTAGCATAAACAACAGGATCCTACAAAAGACAGCAAAGCAATATGTTAGGAATACATCATGTACATATGCATGCATTCTTGTGTGTCTGAATTCACCATTTCTGGTTGAATGTGATTAGGGAATGAAGAGCTATAGAGCTCATTTGGAAGATTATACAATCCCAGTATATTGTCATTATTGTAAGTCAATATACAAGTACCACTACCATCAGGAGACCTAAAACAGATAAACAGAAATATTTGTACGTAAAATTAACAACATCAAATGACTGCTGCTCTTGCTTTAATTACCCTTGCATGAATGTGTAATGTACTGATGATGTGTGACATGCAATGTAACTACGCAATGATCATTAGTAAGTAGTGCTACTATCATACCACTTGCATCCTCTGAAGTACACGAGCAACTGTCTTCGTTATTCATTTTTAGTCTCTATGAGAAGTCGAGGGTCAGTTTCAAGATCATACAATTCAGTAATAGGATCATTATTAGTGATTAGGCCATTGGTTTCAATGATAGCATCATTATTGGTATCTTCAGTGGGTGTGGCATTGCTCCCTGTCTATGTCTCATCCCCACTCCCTTCCACCTGAATACATCATAATAAACATTTAAATTGTTGCAAGCACGTGTAAAAAATGCTTTAATGTTTGACACGTGAGCCTGGTATTATTTACAACTAAGTACACCTAGTAGTACATAATAGTAAGCTACCCAAAATATTGGCATTATGGCTCTCATGACGTATGTTTGCCCTGGGTGCATACTATTGTTTACAACTTCTAGTGCAACACAATAGGCTACTGACCTAACACAATGCCCCACTGTACTTTTCTTTGTTATCAACTTGCAAGGCATAGATTATGTGGCATAGATGGAAATGTAATGTAAAAGTTTATTACATGTATGACAACAAGAACCATCAAAAATAGGCAACAAAAATTCCTATATTGGCTTGTTGCATCCAACATCAATGGGGCACTTTACCAGAGACGTCAATCCTTGCACATCCTCCTTGATTATTCACACCAAACTCATTGCATCCCAATCCATTGGTCCAGGGTTTGTAAGGTAGGGTACCGGCACCTCTATCATACCTTGGCTTGTAACAGCTCTTTGGTGGCCACCACTGATAGCAGTATAGGCCCATGTCATCATACTCTGGTCCACAGAAATAGCTGCAATATCCCCAGCAAACTATGGCAACTCCCATGTAGTTTTCCTTGCATTTAGGATAGCACAGATAATATTCCTCATTTTCCTCACATTCATTTTTTGTGTACGTGTTTGTTGCTATGGTATAATGGAAAATTTGCACTAGCAAGAAATGAACATTAATTTAATATAGGCCTATACAATTTTAAATTTTTTATGCTAAAGGTACATGCAACTGTATCAATTAACATTATTTTAATTCTTACATCATCTACACATAATTACATTTGAATTTACACATGTATAATGATCACACACTGACCAGCAAATGGCATAATCATAGGATGACATTCTAGGGAACCAGGCATAATCGTATATAATTTCATCTTCTCTAGCATAAACAACAGGATCTTACAAAAGACAGCAAAGCAATATGTTAGAAATACATGTACATATGCATGTTTTTGTGTGTCTAAATTCACTGTTTCTGGTTGAATGTGATCAGGGAATGAAGAGCTGTAGAGCTCATTTGGAAGATTATACAATCTCAGTATATTGTCATTATTGTAAGTCAATATACAAGTACCACTACCATCAGGAGACCTGAAACAGATGAACAGAAATATTTGTACGTGAAATTAACGACATCAAATGACTGCTGCTGTTGTTTTAATTACCCTTGCATGAATGTGTAAGTACTGATCATGTGTGACATGCAATCTAACTTGACTACGCAGTGATCATTAATAAGTAGTGCTATTATCATACCACTTGAAGTACACACGCAACTGTATTCATTATTCATTTTTAGTCTCTACGAGAAGTTGAGGGCCAGTTTCAAGATCATACAATTCAGTAATAGGATCATTTATCAATGATAGCATCATTATTGGTGTCTTCGTGGGTGTGGCATTGCCGTCTACATCTCGAGATCTCATCCCCGCTCGACGCTCCCTTCCACCTGAATACATCATAATAAACATTTAAAAGAGAAATTATGGAGCAAACTATATGCCTAGGCTCAGGCTTTGCCACATTTGAATTTTGAAAACCTCATTCAGTCAACAGTACACTGCGAGGTACGCTTCATAATAATTGAGCCCAATCCTGGGGGCTTGCCCATAGTCTATGTGCATGAAGAATGAAGATGTCAGTTGTATCAAAATTTTGTCCTACTCGTCAAAATTGTGCTACTATTTTTTATCCTAGGATAAAATTGTGCTGCTACTTTTTGTCTTATTCGAAAATTTTGTCCTAGTACCTTCCTAAGATAAAAATTGGCTGCCAAAATTTGTCCTGGGTTCGAATTTCGCAGTAAATTTGTCCTAAGTTTTTTTTACAAATTCTGTGCCCTCCAAGAACTTTTAGGCTATTTCAACATCTAGGTATATAGATCTATAAGGCCTTCTTGCTGCGTAGTATCCTCTATGCTTGTTGCCATCATTGCAATTGATGATCTAACCTTTCAAGCTGCATGGGAGGAGGAGCAGCTTGCATGTATGTGCTGCTACTTCTGGCATTCAAGAAGAAGTGCAACTGCAGGAATCTATATGTTGCAACAGACTTTCTTCATGCCAAAGCTCTTTAAATTTTAATAATCAAACAGCTATTGCAGTGAGGCCACATACCATAGGTGCCTCGTTATTACATAGGGACTGAGTGGCTTGAATGGGTTTCAGTACTCTCACAATTAGATCAGGTGTTAACAAATGCAAGGTATGTAGACTACTTTTATGTTCATTATGAGCCAACCACTATAATTCATAACAAAATATATCTTCATGATTTTATGATTCTTGATTAGATTCTTCATGCTGCAGACGTGTTTTAACGTACTAGTACTTTTAGACTACACTAGTAAACAAGAGCTGCGTAATAAAGTAGTGATTGCTATAAGATACGGCTGTGAAGGATTTGCATTCTTTTAATTCAAAAATAAATCCCTTAGATCTACTACATCCATTTTTATGAATATCTTTTATGATTGATTATAAAAAGTAATTATAAAATTTTTATTTTTGGCATTTCATTAAATGTTTTACTATTGCATCGAAATACCTGCTCATAATAAAAGATTGTGTAGTTTCTACATCTTTCTTTGCTGGTACACGATAATGGTGTAATAGGCCATATTTGGGTGGTACACGATACCATTTACTGTAACTTTTGAAAACTTTAATTGGCCAGTGGTATCTAGCACCGATAACAGCTTTTGTTTTAACTATCATCTTGTGATATTTATAATGCTTGTGCTGTTCTACTGGATCAGAAGCCCTCTGAGTGAAAGTAAAGTATCGAGGCCATGATTTATTGATGCACTTTGTTGCTGTAGCAACTTCAGGCAAGCTGGTACCATCATCGTAAAACCAAGTGTTATAAAGTATAAATGAAGCCGCCTTCTGAGCCTTTTTTGACTTCAAAATATCTTTCAACATTTTGACAACAGTATACCTCTTGCTAGGAATGAAAAATTCATCGACGTCCATTAATGCAAGATACTTGACTCTGTATAAGTTACGATATATACATTCATTGACTAATCCAGTCTGTCCCCAGGCTCGTGTATAGCCAGGTATTAATGGTGGCTTCAGTCCCCAATCCAGCACTTCCACTATGCCTTTTTAAATATAAGGCAACGTAGCATTATAGTAAGAGTCTGGAACATCTTGAAAGTATACAGTTATAATTTCTGCTCCTAATGCTATATTGAGTTCAATCCAGTCAATTAATAACTGGGAATTGTTTGAGCCATATAGTCCTTGGTGGAGACATACTCCATACGTCAAGTGTTTTTCAGGCTTACTGTCTCGTATAGGTATGCTTGCCATTGGTCCTGTGCAGGTTAACCCAACCTTAGCACACAGTGGGGCTTCATCAGTAGGAATACTCTTAATCTTTGTTCTGTATACGTAAGTCACATAATATTCATATGTTTTTAATTTCATTTTGCCTGCAACTGCCCATTCTTCTAACTCAAGGCATGCAATAGTTCTCTTATTCTTGTATACGAGAGATGCATATAGCTTTGGTTTTGAAATAGTCCAGTCATCATGCATTGTAATAAATACAATAGAAACTTCAGATTCACGACGAGAATCAAAGTATCCAAGACGTCTGATCTAAAAAATACACTCAAGCATAATTAGTAGCTATCTTTAGGTAGAACATGGCTTTATAATATATAATACATGTGATAATTATAATACTTACAACAAATGGTTTGCTAAGTTTAAACCATAAGTCTTCAGGTCTCTTGGGATAATACAAATTTTCCATTGGAATATCATGATTTTCCTATAATTATAATTGAAAACAATAGCTATATATAACACATCAATTACTCTTGATTATAAGGTGCGGAATAATTGCCTACCACTTCTATTCCTATTGACCTACTTCTTCATCATTGCTTATATTACTCGACTTAACAAAAGCATTATGTGAAAAATGTTCTTTCAGCATAAGACTATGGTTTGGCACAAGTAGTTTATGCTCTCAAATAGCTTTTGACCATTTAGAATCTATTCACCTAGTTATACGTATCCTTAAACCCAATGATAAACTTGTGGCCACATGCGTCGACTAATCACTAGTTAGGCAATAGGCACTATAAAAATACACAGTCTCTAGTTGTCTGACTCTACTGCTATTCTATAATCTAAATGTACAGGTCATAGATATACCTCATTAGACTACCTCATTATCACTTGTCCTAACTTCAGACCCAGGGCTGCCAGTAGTGTTTTTTCTTCGACCAAATAGTAGACCTGACATGAAGTATAACACAACCATCAAGATCAAGGCACCAAACACAACTTTCAGCAGGGTTTTGCGTTTAAAAAAGCCATCGAGCAACTTATTTCTCGACTTATTCATGACCTTTCTAAGTCAAGTTCCACTTCCTTCAGTCCTATGGCTTTATAAAAATGCGTAGGTGGCTGTGGGCTGGAAATAATTATAGTTTTTACAATGATTATATAACATTATATCAAGAGTGGATAATTATTTCCACTCTTGATTATATTTAAAATTATAGTTCTTCAATAATCTGAGACATTGTTGGACGCACATCTGGTTCATCATCAATACAGCGAACAATAAGACTGTGATGATTTGATGAGCTATTTTTAACTTCTTCTAAAAGAGAGTCAAAAGTATCATCATCTTCAGGAAAGCTGCAAGTAAGAACTTCACAAAAGAGAACGCCAAAACTGAAAGAGTCCATTTTTATTGTCTGCTTTCTTTTATTGCGTTTAAGTGTAGATATGCTTTGGTATGATTCGGGTGCACTATAAACTAAAGCACCTGGAGCCTTTGTGACTGCATTTTGTACTGCATTAGCTGATCCAAAATCAGATATCTTTGTCTTCCACTTCCCTGGGCCCTTTGACTCAAGGAGTACATTAGCACTGCTGACATCACGATGAATAATAGGGTCAGGTAGACAGTGTAAGTAGTTTAGACCAACAGCTACATCATGTAATATGGAGAGAATCACTGGTCTACAGGATGGGTCAGGAGTCAGCTCCTTGTTCTCATAAGCTTTACGTAATGAGGTATCCATTACCTCAGTGATAATCATAAGATAGCCAAATGGGTCATCAAGCACAGCTCCTATAAACTGGAGAAGATTGGGATGATGTAGACGAGCCATTGTCTGTATTTCCCGATCAAGGAGCTTACGATAATGCCTGTTAATCTCTTTATGCAGTTGCTTCACAGCGACTTTCTGCCCTCGAAACTCTCCTATCCAAACTACACCCCATCCACCTCTACCAAGCTCATTTTCTGACAGCGTTATTTCAGTATGACTGATTTTCCAGCTACTTTCAGTTGCTTCCAGTAGTTGCTTCATTTCAGCTTCCATTGAATTCATTTTTTTCTTACTATCTTTCAACTCCAGTTTCAACTGATCAACTTGATTTGCCAGGTCACGACTTGTTTTCATTTCTCTCTTTAACAACTTGACAACTTCTTCATACTTTAGTGCAAGTGACTCAGAATGCTGTACATCTTGACTGCCAATAACATCATCAAGTACGAGCGAATTAGCATTGCCTTCATTGATTATTTGCTCTTCCTCTTTGAGTAAATTCTCCAAATGACTTTCAGTGTTGGTTACTGGCAATTGTTGTGCAGAAGAACTGTTATTCTCTGCTGGATCTGGTATGCTACTGGACACTGGGCCACCTTTACTATCACCAACTAGAGACTCTGAAGAGGAAGATCCACTTAGCACATTATCTATAGCATTGTCACTTGTAGCAACGTATATACACATATAGATGTCATGAATGAAGCGTCGAACATATCCTGGTGTAGTCTTCATAGGAGTATCAATGAGTCGATCACGACCATCAGAGGAATAAATCCATTCCTGTAATTCTTGGGACACATCAACTACCTCAGGGATGTTATATTTATCATCTGCAAAGCAAATAAAGAAAACAATAATGGGGGATAGACTATAATGATTTTCTTACACAATCTATTAGCTGTGCTGTCATGGAAGAGCCATTTACCTCCCGACCTAGTATAGCACACATAATGACTGGTCTCAATACATATCACTGAGAGTAACTGGAGCTTTGGGGACAGAGACAAATCATCTAAAATTACAACGCATAAGTTTTATTACATAGGCTCGGTTGTTTTTTTCCATTACCAGTTTGGTCAAGCAGAGGTTTAAGATCAAGTGTCAACGATGGAATAACTTTGTTATAAATTTTGACTTCTTTGCTAAATCTTGGAACTTGAATTATTAATTCAGAAGGAACCTGTAAATGGAGAAAGATTTGTTCATAAATAATTTCTTAATAATTTACTTCTGTGAAAGATATATGTTGTTCAAGAAACATATTAACCAGTAGCTCTTCAGTACTTGACACTGAAACCTCATTTTCTTTAAGTTCAAAAAACAAGGGAATGAAAAATTCTCTTTCAACACCAAATGGCCGCCTATAATTTTTAGAGTTATTAGCTAAATAAATTATTATTACTTTAAGCTGAGAAAAGGATCAATGTGAAGCATTCTAAATAATACGGTGAGAAATTCCTCTGGATCTTTAATAAATAAGATAAAATAGATTTAATTTAATAAAATAATTGATAAAATAGATCTTTAATTAGCATTAGCAATTGAGAACATGTCATTAATTTAATTACCAGTTTCCTCTTTTTGCTGAAAACTCTCTTCTAAAATGATCTGCAAGCTCTCCACAGATTCATATCTGGCCAATCCATATCTAAATCAAAAAAGAGGCATCAGTTGTACTGTCAAGTTTAAAAACTAACTTTCTCAGAGGATTAACTATTCCTCGCCAAAGATAATGTTTGACCTTTTCTCCCACTTCATCAAGAGGTTTATCTTGGAATAACATATCAAATGAATTGCTCAAAGCGAACAAGGCAAACACTGTAGAATCAATATAACAGGAGTTGCAGTGGCCCTGGATGCCATGCTCATCACCAATGTACTTAGAAAATAAATCAGGTGTAACAGAAGTTTGGACTTTTTCAAGTGTAGGTGCTTTAGTGGATAATGCTAAACGAAAAAATAGATAAAGTAATATGTAATACTGCAATACTGTATACAGTCTACAGATAAATGAATCTACTGTATAGCGGGTTTATTTCGAGGATAATAATTTTTGCAAATGGCCTGTATCTGGAGGTTCATGGAATTAATTTTCGTGAATTGCCCACTTCTCTGCCATCTTGTACCGTATTAAATTGATTTTCAAGGAATTTAATTTCGTGAATCTTCAAAAATCTGCAAAATTTACAAAATTTGTTATTCTTGAAATAAACCCGTTATACATCAAATAATCTAATATGCAATTAGGAATACATAGTTATAGGTGGTAGTCCTTATAGGATTGATGCCTCATGAGCTGAAAAGTACTACAAAAAAATGAAAAATTCTCTCCTAGCCATTTTTGGTAAAATTTGGCCAAAGTCTCTGTACTAAGCAAGGCTACAAAAGTCGTGGCAGCCATTTTATTTTGGGATGAATTATACTTAGTAGCACTACGGCATTACTAATAGTACAGGGACTTTGGTCCAATTTTTGAGTACCCTTAGATTTATAAAAAATCAAATTTTGATTGGAATCAGCTACACAACATAAGAACATGAATATATATTTTAAAAATTATAAAAATAAAGAATTCTCTCTTTCCATTTTAGCAAATTTGGCCAAAAACCTGTACTACATAAATGTACATGCATAAACTTTGGCTCAACTTTTGGGTAACTTAAAAATTAGGAAAAATATTTGATCAGAATTAGCTCAAATTTTCTGCACAACATAAGCACATGTATATGTATCAGGAGAAATTACTGATAAAAATATAAATTCCTCTCATTTTCAATTTTGACCAAATTTGGCTGATACTAGTCAGGCAGAGCCTGACCTTCCTTTTGGCCTGATATTTTAGCAAATTAAATAAAATTCTAATATGATCGAAATGAGCTCAAACTTGCTACACAACATAAGAACATGTCTATGTATCAGGGAAAATTTATTAAAATAGAAAATTATCTCTTTTTCAATTTTAACAAAATTTGGTCAAAGTTGGCAAGAAACTGAGCAGTATGCCAAAATCCTATGGGAAGGCTTGGATTGAGGTCAATTTGCAAGTTGGTAGCTAATTTCAATTGACTCCATTCCATATACTGTCATTTATGTATTATAATGTACTTTACTTTTATAGGCTTACGATTTTTCACATCCTTAACTGGTTTAAGGCAATGCAATGGACAAAAGAATGCCCTTCCAGGTTGACAACTAAAGTATTGTACATCTTTCCATGTTCCATCAGAACAGCCAGCCATTGCCGCTTCCTATAAATTAAATCAAAATTACCACTCAATTAAATATTAACATTTAAAAATCCCATACACCTAAAATACCTTGGGACTACTGATCATAAAGCAAATTATACTATACACTGTACATGTATTATACATACCAGTTCAACTCCAGCAAATAATCCAGGAAAATCAGTTAGTGCTCCAATCCATTGCACTACGCCATGCAAAGAACAGCCATTACGTTCAACGGGTACAGTAACTAATGTCCCAATCATTAGTTCCTCCCTGCAAGAACTTAGAGATGACTCCAAAGAAGATGAGCCTGAAGGAGCTTGGAAACTAGAAAAATCGTAACCTGAAACGTCAACAAAATCATCATCGTCTTCCTCTTCAGTACAAGTACCAGTCTCCTTTCCATTATTATTAGCTTCAGATTGAGATCTTAAATGCTGTATTGCTTTCTCCAATTGCTTCTCACTGATAGGCTCACTATTTGATAATTTTGAATCCAAACTCATTCCCCTGTTTCTCCTTATCCCTCCTGCTCTATGCAATCCTTCACTTACTGAATGACTCGAATCACGACACCTTTTATCATCAGTCGTCCCCTGCTCATTGCTTTCAATGTTCTCTTTTCTTGCTTCATCAAGGAGTTCTCTTTGTGAGCAGTACTCTTCCACACTTATATTAAACTTATTAGCTATCTTTGCCACTTCTTGACTTGCCACTTGTTTCTTCTGCTGCTCCTGATACTCATCATAATGAAGTACAAACTGTTCAGGAATGAATATTCGTCTGTGACCCAGTGTTATTTTGAAGAGTTTTGAGCCCTTCATTGCAACAACATCAATATGCAATCCAGAGAAGTCTATCCTACGTATGACCCATTTGTCCTAGCCATAGATAAAACAACTCATAAAAATAGATTCATAAAATATAATACCATATTGTAGCCGGAAATTTTGGAGGGAGTAAAATTTGGCGAATTGCTAAATTTTGGGTGATTGGTGGATTTTAATTTGGCGAATTTTTTGCTACGTACCATCATAGATATACAATAGTGCCATTGAGCATGCGTATAATTACTGATAATGGTGGATTTTTATTTTGGCAAATGGCTATCAAAATGTCAATTTTCCAAATTTAATTCCCTCAAAAATTTCCTGCTACACCGCACAATAGAGAGAAGGAAGTTAATTAAACTCCATTAAAAAACATAGTATCATTGTTATGTGCCAATAATACTGAGCACTCACTGTTTCTATTCCAATAACTGATAGAGTGCAACCATCTTTGTCTATAGGTCCCATCCACCTCACTGTACCAGTTACAGGGTCACCTTTAACAGTATAAACTATAACACGATCATCAACTTTAAACCTGGACTGATGAGATGAACAGTCAGGACTAACTGCTCCTAAAATGAAAAAGTATAATAATAATTCTTTAACTTGTTGTCATACCTTCTGCACCTAAGTCACTTCCAGTTGACTCAAGGCTCACTGAATGCTCAAAGTGAGAATTGGGATACTCAGACTTCTTTAAAATCTTATCTATTGTAACATATACAGCATTATTGTGGTCACATTTAAAATGAGGCATTCCATCGCAGGAACCTTTACCGCGATACTTCTCAGACTATAAGACAAAAATATAATAAGAGATTTACTCTGCAATACACTACATTGCTACACAGAAGTATTGTTATTGTAACAGATAATAATTATTACTGATAAAATCCATTAAAAGTCCCATTTAATGCGCACTCTTTGCGGTCACTTTAAACGAATCACTGGAAACATTTATATACAATACTTAATGCATACCTTTATCTCAATACCAAAGAAGATCCATTCATTCTCATCCAATGAGCCAATGTAACGTATGGTTCCCTTTACAAAGGAATCCTCAGGTGTTTCACCCTCCATTTTCATTGTAAACATTACCACATCAGTGACCACGAGATTCATCTTCTCTTTCATTTCCTCGTTTCTTTTGCTGTACTCCGTTAATCTTACACTTGGTGGCTGGACTGGCAAAAGATATGACAGCTCGTCAGACTGGAGTTCAGCAACGTCCGAGCGAGGAGCGTGAAATATAATCCTCCTGTCAGAGTAAAGGCAGTAATTTCTTGGAATATCAGGATCCATTTGTGAGCTTTCTTTGTCAGGAAACTGGATTACAATTTCTCCCTCAAACACAGTGAGCTCTGATGCATAGCCTTCTTCTTGTTGTGGCCTTGGGGCAATCTTGCGCTTCAGCAAAATGCAAGGAACTTCCTTGTCGGCTCGCTTGTCAGCCATCATGAAGATAAGTCTACCCACTCGTGTTAATGAAACCACAAAGACGTGGGCGCAGCTGAATATGGCCTCCAATATGGCTGATGAGACATGTAAGTTTTTTTTATCAATCGGATTATTGACATAATGACACTCTTTCTTTATTTTAGACACTAATTCCAAATTCATTGAGTTCTTGGATACTGAAAAATATCCCATCAATCTTGCACTGTTGCTAAATCTTGTAGTGGCAAAAGTAAGAAAACTTTAACAACTTTGATTGTTATATTTGTAATTTAATTTTAGAATCCTTCTATTTGGGAGAATGTTGGCATACTTCTTGGTATTGATGCAGGTGTTCTTGATGGAATTAAAATGGACGTTAGTCATGGTGGTAATCCAAAAAATCACTTCAGAGAAGTATTATCAATATGGGAAAGAAACCTTGAGCCGCCATTTAATTGGTGTACCATATTAAGCATTTTATCAGCTCCAATTATTGAGTGCAGCACTTTGGCTAATGAAATAGCAGCAGTACTAAATAAAAAGGATAGCTTATCAACAGGTATGTGCATGTAGTAACGCTGATATTTTTTGAGTGTTTTTTTGTGTTTCAAAGTTAAAATTTGTTTCAGCTACTGGTAATTTTTATATTCTGTGCATAGTCTATTATGATAGATTAGCATTTAAACGTTGATTTAACATGAACACAAAAATAAGAAAATTAAGAAACCACAAAGATTACATTGTATACATTTTTGTGTGGGTATTGTAATTATTATAATCTATATAGGCCATAAAATATTGTAAAAACATGATTACAGTTATATTGAGCTAGTTTAATATTATAATTTGGGTTTCCCACAAAGCATGCTGAGTGAGGCTTCATGAGCTGAAGAGCCTAATAGCATATAGAGTAACTTTAAAATTCAATTTAAAAAAATTCAAATTTAATTGGAATGAGCTCAAACCTTCTATATGCATCAGGAAAAATTATAGAAAACTTTACTTAGTCAATTTTGACAAAATTTGGCCAAAGATTTTATACTATAGTAGAAAGACTTCGGATCAAATTAGAAAAATTGTAAAATTCAATTTTGATTGAAATCAGCCTAAACTTTTTACATATGTGTCAGAAAAAATTATAAAAATAGAGAATTCTCTCCTGAAAAATTTGGCCGAAAATACCTTGTACTATAGTACATGCGATTTTTGAGCCAAATTTAAAAATTAAAAAATCTAATTTCAATCAGACTCAGCTCAAAATTTCTCACAACTTAAGAAATTTTTCCACAATGTAAGGACACGTATACGTATCCAATTCAGAAAACTTAGTAAGAATTCTATCCTTGCCATATTTTATGAAATTTGACGAAATACCTTTACAAAATATTTTCTTAATTTTTGAGCAACTCAAAAATTCACTGACAAGAAGCTGAGCGCTATGCCAAAATCCTGTTGGAAACCTTAACTATAATAATTGTTGTTGATCAGTAATTAGTGATGTTATTTTTAACAGATGATGGAACAAGAAATGATCAAGTAGCCCTAAGCTCAAGCTCAAGCTCAAGCTCAAGCTCAAGTTCAACATTAAGAGGTAAGTAAGTATCAAACTAAAACTGTAGCTAATATTATTCCCTTTCAGAGCTCACTGCACTAAATGCCATACAATTATTGAGAGATTGTGGTTTTCGAATGTTCACTAATTGGAGTAAAGTTTCACGGTCTTTAGGAATATCTCTTGATGATAGAAATAGACTAAAGCATAAAGGGATGATGAATGATGATTGGAGTGACGTGATGGAAAGTGCTCTCACTATCTGGATTGACTCTGGACAAGCAACATGGGACAAATTAATAGAAGCAGTTGAATCAGAAGAGAAGAACACTGCTTTGAAGATGAAAAGGATTTTATATAAAGAGTGAGAGTTTAGTTGTTTATATAAGAATTATTTTGTACCACAAGGTTCTGCTCAAATGGAATAACATTGCCTTTCTATGTAAAGCCCACCTACCACACACTGTGCAACGTATTACCCATGGCCTAGTGTCTTTAGCTAAAAGTTATACTCAGCCAGTGCACATTGTAATCCTAATAATTGCCTTCACCATAGACACTTCACAGACTAATAATGTAAACTAGATCTAGTACTTGCCCATATGCTTGGCAGATCCAATGACCAGAGGTTATTGATCCAAAATAATGTATAACTAGTTAACTACAAAATCTAATTAATCTATAGTTATTGAATATTGGCAGATTTTCTTGTGATGTCTTTATCTTCCACAGATAGTTGTGATTCTGCCTCCTTGTGACTTAATTCTTTTCCTATTGCTATATACTTATTATTATACATGTACCATAAAGTATAATCTACCTGAAGCTGATGCATATGTTTTTTGGTAATCAGAACTTTGATCCCTCTCAGCTTCATGCCCAACTGCATCTTTGATTTCTTCCTTACTATTTCCCACAGATCCTTTAAATGCAACTTGTAGCTGATTACCAAATAGTAGAATAGGACGATAGTATATCAAGGGATTATGGGTAGCACTTGGCTTTTCATTCCATGTGTGTCGGTGAACATCATGTAACAGCTCAGGATCAAACTGCAAATCAGGACAAGTTGTTACTATGAGTGGAGGAAGCAGTGTTAGCATTCTATGTGTCAAATTAACTGCCCTTTCAATGTAGCCTTTAATAATGCTCCTTTCAATTTTCAGAGTGCTTTTCTGTTGAAGTTTTAGAAAAACCTATAACAATAATTATTACAACTATAATTATACTTATATATGTGATGATCACCCACTCTTGATGTATGTGTATTTACCTCCTCTGCAATGACTTTAGTATCAGGGGGTTCATTGCCTCTTAGGCTACATGCACTGAGTAGTAATCCATACACCCTGTATTTCTGTCTAACATCATCGTTACTACTTTTTTCTGGTTGATAGTTTAGAAGATGCATTAATTGATTTTCAAGAGAAGTTGCCAAAATTTTAATAAATTCTGTATAAACTGCCTGTAAATTAAAAACCATATGCAACTTGTAAGGGTCATTGCATTTTATTATAATGTGTATTAAGTAGACTGTGTATGCATACAGCACAATTTAGAGGCTTTATTGGGTTAGGTATAATTTTAGATCTTATCTACTGCTGAGTCTCTATTTTCAATTGATTTTAATCATTTGTATAGTCTATACCATTAGGAAACTGGATCCTTCATTGTTCTTTTCTTTAGTAACAATCTTCTCACGTTTCTTTATCAGCTCATGAGGTAATTTTTCAGTAGCATTTTTCAATCTTTGGAAGATGGTTATAGAGATTGATAAATATATATTTTTTGTACTTGTACTTGTGTTCTATTTTCTTATTCTTTTGTTTAAGTGACTCAATTTCCCTAAACTATATATTCTATGTATTATTGTAAATATATGACTGACTGTTTTAAGGATTTGTAGATTTTATCCTTTTTGTCTTTTTCCTGCCTGCAAAAAGTTAAATAAATGTTGGAATGGTAGATATAAATCTTTATATTAACTTGAGGTATTCAACTTCACTTTTTTGTTCATTACAGTAGCTACATGTATAATAGATATGATGCAGTGATTTGAAAATAATTTAGTTAATTACCGTATAATAGTTTTTATTTGATTTCTACATTTTGAAACTTCTTCTGTAATTCTGTATTTAGTAATTGGTAGTCTAATAATACAAAATGTCACTATACTTACATGAATGTAGATCTGTCACTAATAGTAGATCTATCAGCATTTTCAGTTGATCTGCCTCTTTGCAACCATTTCTTCATGATCTTGATGGTCTTAAACTAGAGTCTAGCAGCTGGAATTAATACGGTCTAGTTTACACTAGCCAATTCTAGGAATCCACAAATGATGTCATGATTCCTGAAACTCACATAGATTTAATCTTGGAGCTAAAAAAACTTTTCCAAGAATTATTTACACAGAACATATGAATAATCTTAATCACATCCTTTTTATCATTGTAGCTGTATAGCACATGCATACTTTTGTATGCCATTGCTTCCACTGGCAGAAAGGTGCTGAAATGGGTAACAAGACGCCAGCTCCATTATGTAGAGCAGAGAAAATAGTTTGTAATGAGCGTAGCTATTGTCCTACTAATGGCAATGTTGCTGCAATTGATTTTGGTACTACATCAGTTTCCCTGGCATATGCTACTAAAGGATATGAGAATATACAAACATTTCCATTAGGCACAACACAATCAACAAGGGTTCTTAATGTTGTTCTACTAAAGAAAGAAGGAAGCAGTACAAAAGTCAGTTCATTTGGAGAAAATGCCAGACAGACGTTCTTAAAACAAGTTAAACAGGATGACTACAAAAGCTATGTTTATTTTGAGAGGATCAAAATGTCTTTGAAAAGGGAACAGGTACATGAAATAATTTCAAATTTACATAGCTGTACTAAACACTTCTATTGCAGGCCATTAATCGTGAGACGCTCATTGAGTCTTTTTCGGGTGAGAAGTACTATCTGGTTGAAGTTATTGCATTCATACTCCAGTATTTAAAAGATCAACTCATCGACCACTTGTCACGTACTGTTACACCCTTAGGAACGACTGATTTTTATTGGGTCATTACTGTACCTGCTATATGGGATGCACGTGGAAAAAGAATGATGAGGGAAGCTGCTTATATGGTGAGTGAAGAAATTAAAATTTACTGCTTAATCTACATTGACAACTAGGCTGGCTTATTGACAAAGTCTGGTGGCATTGAAAATTTCACTCCAATATGTGATGGTCCACTTCCACCACCAAAAGAAGTTAATTCTGAAAAGTTGTCACTAGCACTGGAGCCTGAAGCAGCAGCTCTTTATAGCCAGAAGAATGTGGTAGAGCAAATTCAAGCTGATAAATCTCAAGCAGCTATCAAATGTCCCACAGAATACATGGTCATAGATATAGGAGGTGGTACGGTTGATATCACAGCTCATATTGAAGTTGAGGGAAACATCAAAGTGCCAGTCATCCCTACTGGTAATGCATGGGGTGGTACACAGGTTAATGAAGCTTTCTCTAAAATGCTGCAGAAGCTGGTAGATGATCCTGGGTACCTGAAGTATCTAGATATTGGTAGCCATTCAATGCAAATGGCATCAATAAATGATATACTGTATAGAGAATTTGAAGATCAAAAAATTAGCTATGGTAATCGTACTAGTAAAAGCATTGTTGTTTCTTTGCCTAACAAATTCGCTAAATGTTACAATGAAACAATTGAATTAAAAGTTAAGGAAATGCATGGCGTGGAATATGACGATGACAAAATATACATAGAAGATGAAGAAGTAATTGAAGCTCAATTATTTGGTCCAGCAATTGATGGTATCATAGATTGTGTACTAAAAGCAATTGAAGATACCAAGAATCGTTTTACTACATTTTATCTTGTTGGTGGATTTGGTGGCTGTAAGTATACGCATCAAAAGGTTGAAGAGGCAATTAAAAAGCGAAATTCCAAAGCTAAAGTTATACTCCCACCATCTCCTCGATTAGCTGTTGCTCAAGGGGCAGTATTGTGGCGTCAGAATCCAGGAAAAGTAACAGAAAGAACATGTGATGCTACTTATGGAATAAGCACCACGTTACCATTTGATCCAAAGGAACATGATGAGGATTACAAGTACTACGATGGTGAGGAAAAGCAAGATAGATGCCATTCGGTGTTTTGCATTTTCATTGAAAAAGAAGAGGTAGCAAATGAAAATGAAGTTATTACAATTAACGGGGAACCACCAAGTCAAAACTCTACTCAATTACCGATTGACATTTACTGTGCACCTGATCGTGGTGTTCAATACATCAATAGTAAAGATGGTAAGAGCAATGCTGATAAAATAGGTCAACTGGTCATTGATATTCCAAATCCTGATAACCTACCACTAAATGAGCGTACAGTTGAGATCACTATGGATTTCAGTGGAACAGAAATACAAGCCAAAGCTAAGTATTGTGTTACTGGTGAAGAAGTTAAAACCACCTGTGACTTTCTCTCTACTCAATAACTTTATATCCAGTATCACAAGTTTTAGGAAATTTTTACTGAAGACAGGTGTCTTGACTTACCCTTAAATTGATCTCTCTATTTTTGCTATTCTGTTTCATAATTATTTGCTTCTCCTCATTGTGTCTGTTTATTAGGATTTTTATTAGGTTTTGTTCTTTTCATAATAATAATAGTAATAATAATAGTAATAATATTAATAATAATAATAACAACAACAACAACAACAACAAGAATTGATAATATAATGAATAGACTAATAAAGAAACAAATAAAGTCAAGTAGATCTAGCAACATTATTCTTGAAAAAAATATAGAAAATCACTTATAAACAACCTAAAAACATTAAATCTAAATCTATTGTAAAAATCTACATTACCTTTATGGTTGATCATCACTTTTCTTTCCATCCTTAATAAATGTAGTGTAATCTTTTGGATCAATTTGTGTGACAATAGCTACTATTAGATCAATATAAGTATCTGCATCGTCATCATCAATGCTGAGTAAAGCACATGTGGAACGTAACTAAATATAGTTATAAATTATGACTAGACCTATATCTACTTATCAAACAAACATTTTTCTTTATTTTTGACATGTTCATTTTATTCTGCTCCTTGCTCTCATCATTATCTCCCTGTATAGGCAAATTATTATCATGATTGAAGTTTTATATATTAAAATAAAATACTTGGTGCTTTTGTTCAATTTCTTCCTTGCACAATTCATTGACAAAGATATGAAATGCTCTAAAAAGATCAGCTATTTTATCATCTACTGATCCAGTAGACCTAAAAACAGTTAGTTCAAATTTCAGCTTTTCACTTATTTTTTTGATGATGGCATCTTTACAATGTTCAAAGCTTGTCTATAAACTCAGGTCTACACCAAAATCATAATCAAACTAACTAACCTCTACAATATCAGATGTCATATGCCATACTTCATACTTCTCTTTAGACTGTGCACTAAGTTGCCTGGGTAGATTACGTAATGTTGTTTTAAAAAAATTGTCAAAGGAGAGTATGACATCTTGGTGAGTAATATCTCCAGGAGCAATATGTCCATACATTTTATGAGCATCACGAGCTGAACTAGTTTTTCTAATTTTTTTAATGCTGTCAGTCTATCACAATTAATCATACTTTTCAAGTTCTCTTTCTTGTGACACAAGATCTTCATTTTTACTACAAAATAATCAGACTAGATAGACTATATAAAATATTCAGATCCATGCACCTCTTTAACTCTTTTAACTCTTCTTCCAAGGTCTTTATATCACTGTAGTAGAGAAGCACAGGGATGTACTGAATTTCATACAAAGCAGATTTCTTTTAAAAATACCTATCTAATTTAGCATTCTCTCTCTTTAATTTCTCACATAGCCTAAAAAGCATGAGTGTAATTTTAGTAACTGCTAGTTAGATTTCCCTCTTACTTCTCATTGCTGACAGTTTCATTGGCAAGACGTAATAACTGTTTTTCAGCTCCATCAATACAGTCATGCTCCATTTCAATTTAAAGTTAGAACATGGTGTAGCCTCAATTATCAGATATTCATAGACTGTTTGTACAGCAGTTCCAAGAATCAAGCATTGCAATGAAATTCATAGTTTGGATTGTTCACATCAGAGATAGAATAATTCCAAGAAATGGTGAACTCTTTGAAAGAGTCAACTATCCCAGCAAGTCTGCACAGGAGCATTACTGCATTTTAAGATATAAGCCTACACTATAATAGCAGCCTACTTTCTTATATTGATAAAATGGAAGGTATTTAGATCCACCTAGTTATAAATGTATTTGACAGGGAATATCGTGCAGTGGGTAATTATAGAGGAAAGAAATATTGGCAAATTACTAAAATTTTGGTGATTGGTAGGTTCATTTGTGATCTTATGCCATTGAATTGAGCATGCACATAATGGTACAAAATGGCAGGTTTTAATTTGGTCAAAACACCAAACTAGCCCAAATTCATTCATCCCCTCCAAAATTACCTGCTAAAGACATGGCAATAATGTCAAAAATTAGTGTTAACAACTCTATAATAATTTTTTATAAAAATGAACAGTTTACTAAAATGCAAATATGACCAAAAGTTTAAATATTACAGAAAATACCAATACTTTAATAATTTTTAATTGTGTCAGATCAGTCGTATCTATTGCAACTATTAGGCAATGATTCACCATTCCGCCTCCTAACTTCACAAGCCAGTCTCACTAGCGCTATCTTGCAATGACAGCTACCTGTACAGTCTAAAAAAATTATATTAATGATAAACAATAAAGTACTATTGTACATTGTCTCTGGCCAGATTTTTTAGTAACTTCAAAATTTTTTAAAAATTAAATTTTTAATGGCATCAGCTCAAACTAAATATACAACATCAGAACATGTACATGTGTATTTATCAGAAAATATTATAAAATGGAGAATCATTTTGACAGTACATCATACATGCATGCATGGTCTCGAGCCTGTTTTTGAGTAACTTTTAAAATCCATAAAAATTCCAGTTTTTAATCAGAACCAGCTCAAACAAGATATACAACATTAGAACATGCATACGTATTAGAAAAAATAATAACCTCTCCTAGCCATTTTTGATAAAATTTGGCTCAAGACCCATATGCGTATCAAAAAATGGAGAATTTTCTCCTCTAGCCATTTTTGACAAAACACCACGGACAGGCTTTTCAACTAATCTCTACTGAGCAAGCTAAACAGGACACCTCATGAGCTGGCAAGAAGAACTATGCAAAATTTTGTAGGAAACTCTGAGCTTCAGTAAATGTTTAAAATAGAGTAAGTACGAGGCTCANAATAGTAAATAAATTGTAACAGTATCAAACCATATTATAGCTTTCTTATATGTACATTAGATAGTTTGAAGAATTCACTTTATAAAGTCACTAAGGTAACATAAAGAGTACTCTTGGTAACATGTAACATTTAAGGTTACTTTAATCTTATTCTGTTCTAAGAATAAAAATATGCTTACAAGATCAAAGTAGGCCATAAATTTGCTAGCAGCAACATGTTGTCTCGTGCAATCTAAATATAGACTAAGATCAAAGGCTGCATTTAATTTACCAGGAAATTACTCTAACTATATTATGGCTGCATAATTTAATTATCAATAACCTAATGACATGCATTGCCTTAAACAAAAGTGTGTATACCTCCATCACTACTGTTCAATGAAAACAGGTATGTCCCAGGAATATCACTGTTAAGCATTTGAGTAGGAGCATCATAAACATCTGACTCAAATGGAAATTGCACGATATTTGATGTTTCGGATGCTCCAAACAGAAATGTTCTAACTCCTGTAGTCATTGACCCTTCTCTGTCCATGTGATCATTTACATCCACAAACTTAGCGATCCCATAAGAATTGAACCCATTAGTCACTAAAAGAAACTGAAAATTGCTACCCTATAAAATATACATATCACATTTAAGGAATTTAAAATATTTACTGACAGGATAAGATGGTCCTTTTTTGTAATCTATCCAGGTTTGTATTAGCAGTTGTGTTGGAGGAGAAGAGCTACAGAATGTGTGGGGAAAAGCTTTGTTAATCTCATTTTGCGCCCGTCGTAGTAGCAAAGAATCATTTGTAAGTCTGTATGTTGTTATTGACAAGTTATCATCTCCCTGACCTCTCCTATTGAGAAGGTTGAACTCAATGTAATGACTCCCGGATTCAAAACGTATAAAACCATCAAAGTATACCTAATAATAAATACGAATATATGACAGTGCTTTGTGTGTCACTCACATGAATATTTGAGACGTTAAGTTGGTGAGTTTTGAAGACTGCAAAATTTTCAATTGGTTGCTCTAATGGTACAGACATATCAGTAGCTGGTGTCACTGTCACTGCCGTATCTCCATTCTCTTCACCATATGGGTAAAAATCATTTAATGTTAAACTGTCGACAGTCCATACCAGAACTATAGTTATTACCTAATGGACATTATAAAGTACATAGCTAAGGCTATAATATCTTTAGCTTACTAGTATCACACTTGAGCAAAGTTGACTTGCCATAATATCCAATTATTCTTGCTATTTGGAAAACAGAATAGAAAGTTTACTAGAAACATAGATATTATAGACTACGTAATGGATTTCTACGTAGTCTCTAATATCTATGCTAGAAAGCTGAAGGAGAGTCACTCACCAAATAGTAGATCTTGCTTTATATATAATCATGATCATTTCTAGGTATGAACTATGGGAGTGGTCCATGACAGGATGAATGTTTTTACTTCTATATTTAGATCTATTGCTAATAATTATATTTCCAGGGGCTTTATCTAGCTTTAATACAATTAAGGCTTCTCACAGCATTTTGCTAACTCAGATCTACATTAGATTGGATGTTTTATGAATTGTTTAATTTGCTCAAAAATAGTATTCTGTTTAGTTCCCTTAGCCTGCTTTGTGGGAAAAACTCATTACCGATACCTGTACATTACTACAGATAATTATAGCCGTGGAGCCAAAGGTCAAAGCCAATAGCTGTAAATCATGTATAAAAATGTATGTGTTATGACTATGTGACAACATCAAAACAATGTACCAGTATGTACATTATTTGGAAATTGGAACCCATAGGGAGTTAATTAGTTATGCATAGGTCAGTTTAATGAGAAATACCAAAAGTAGATAAGAATGTAATATTTATTGGATTGTAGCTACTAGGGTTTATGTGGGTATGCAGTGAAAGTATGGGCTTTAGCCTGTAGGACGCTCTCTAAAATCAAGTACTCTTAAAAATTACAATAATTGTATGAGAATTAATTCTAAAAATAAGCGATCAGTAATTTGCAGTCTCGTCCCTGAAGCTAATACTGTATGACAATTAATATCAACAAAGCAGCATTTATTAATTTGGCATAATGTACACAGCTCTAATAAAAATTATAAAAATAAATAATCTTGTACAATTACTTTGTTTCAGTTATTTACAGTACAGTGTAAGACACTCTCACATTTTTCTTGCTCTGAATATGAATAATAACAATAATAACATACAAATATCATTTCTAGCTACCTTTTTAATTTTTGAGACTTTAAGACCTTTTATTTCTGCAGTATTCTTAACATGAGTTCCACCACACATACAGGATACTCCACCAACATTAACTTCTCTTTCATTTCTTTCATTCACTGATACCACAACTCCAATAGATTCCTGGAGTTCATAAAATCAATAAATTATTTATCATTAAAACACAGGCAAGTATAAATACTTTGATGAGTCTTTCTGATTCTATATTCAAAAGATTAATGACTTCTTCTCTTTTTTCAGCTGGAATATCACCAATATATTCTACAAATAACCATTTATATTATTGTAATGATTAGTTGCTTTTAAAGTTAATGTTTAATAACTAACCAACATAAGGTCCATCAGGGAAATGATAGCCCTAAGTAGGATAACAATGCTAACATTAGCTGACATTCAGCAACATACTTTTGATGGGACTAGATTGGTTATTCCCAGGTTAATGAAAGCTGAGTCAAGTAGATGGCCTGCACTATGTATTCTAGCATTAGTACATCTCCTTCCTGAATTAATTTCAACTGTCACCTCTTGACCAACAATTAACCTTTTAAAGATCCACCATAAATATACAGTATAGCTGGTAATTTGGAAGGGGGTAAATTTTTGGCAAATTGTTATTGTGGCCATGTACCAATGCATAAAGAATCAAAATGGTAGGTTTAAAATTTGGTGAATGGCTGTTAAAGCATCAAATTTGTCAACCCCCCCCCCTCCTCAAAATTACTGGCTTTACCATAACAGTAATGATTACAAAGCCTGAAATTACATGTACATTCAAACAATGTTCAGCTATTGTGCCTGAATATTGCTTAATTTGATCTGCTATTTTTATCAGACAGAGTTTCTCAAAGGATTTTGGTATAGTGCTCATGCAGCTTCTTGCCAGTAGATTATTAAATTACTCAAATTTTGACAAAAGTCACAAGTAGAGAATTCTCAATTTTTCTAATTTTTTTGATACATTATACATGTTCTTATGCTGTATAGAAAATAAAAACTGACTTGGATCAAGTTTGTATTTTTATGAATTTATGAAGTTGCTCAAAAATTGGGCCAACGACCAAAGGCTACAGCCTTTAGTCTTTGGCTCAATTTTGTCAAAAATGGCTAGTAGAAAATTGTCAATTTTTATAATTTTTTTCTAATACGCATACACATTCTTATGTTGTGTATCAAGATTGAGCTGATTCTGATCAAATTTGGATTTTTTTATGAATTTTTAAAGTTGCTTTAAAAGTCACGTACAATTATTAATGGCAGCTCATGAAGCTCATGCTGTTTAGCTCATTTAGTATGCTTTGTGGGAAACCCTGTGGTAGACATAACTAATTAATTGTTATGTTGAATTGCTTAATTAATGCTGTTCAGAAAAAATGATAGAACAACACAGAATTTGGTCAGAAAATTGAGCAAAATGGTTTGAAAATGTCTGATGTCCGACTGTTATGTCAGGCTCTGGATTAAGTATACAAGCATGCCAATTACCTTTCATCTGTCGTAAATGTTCCAATATGTTCAATATAATTTGTATCCCTTGGCTTCTGAACATGTGATACCTACACGTACACATACATGGACATACATAAATCATTAGTATAATATTGATTCAGCATTACCTCAAACTTAATATTTCCATCAGGACTGGATATTGTGCCAATATCGGTTGATTGACCACCTACATGTACATGTAGTATGTATTAACTTTAGTATTATGCAAGTAATCAGGCCTGGGGTCAATTATAAAACCTCCATTATAACGGCACATTCAATTACTATGATAGAGAATTTTCTCCTAGCCATTTGTGCGAAAAAAATTTGGCCCGAGATTGGAACATGGTCACAGGCCAAATTTTTGAGCAACTTTAAAAATTTATTAAAAAATCAAATTTGATCAAAATCAGTTCAAACCATTTACACAATATTAGAACATGCATGTGCATCAAAAAATGGAGTTCAATTTTGATAAATTTTATTACATTTTGTTCAGTCTTAGGCCTCAAACGCAGCCTCTAATTACAATTACAATTGCCAGATCTAATGTATATTCAAAATTAAATTACAGTGCCTTTTCATATCAAAATTATACAAAAAGATGCGTCTTCTAACCCTTCAATTACAGCAGTAAATCTATATACAGTAGCATTTAATTACAATGCTTAATAAACTTTAAAACCTATTATACTAAGTAGTAATATTTTAAGTAAAATCAAATGTACTCCAAATTTAGCCTAGTAAAAGTGAGTTTACGATAGGCTTGATGTTACATTCATGCTAGAATAAGATTTAGTATTATTCTAGTGGAAAGCATGTGTCAAAAGGTCAACTTTTGATTAAAAATTGATGGTACACTTGCCTAACAACATATTATGAAGTTATGAACCCACCTTAAATTTCAAAAATATCCACCAGGTCCCCATTAAGTAGATTAATGATATTCATTGGGATACCGTAAAAACAAAAGCTGGCCGCCATTGTGGGGGCATAAATTATACAGTAACTAATGGTCCAAGAGGCTAAAATCTACCTAATCTGCTTTCCCACATTACTTAGAGGCTGTGAATTGTTGCTGTGGTACAGACATGGAAAATCTTTTCTCTCTGGATGCAGCTCTTTTGCTTTGCTGAATAAATAATGAAATAACACTTTTCCCCCCGTTAAAAACAGTACAAAGTATACCTCTATCCCTACGACCCAAACAAAATTTTCATTTACGGTATCAAATGAATATCATTAATATCCTGCATCTCATTTATATACACAGATTTGGTGGATAACAGTTGTAAGTTGATCATTAACTCCAAAGTTAACAAATACTCTGCTCCCATATGAGCAAATAGTTCTGCTATGCACATGCATACGCAGGGTACTAAATTTAGGCACATTTGGTGACATGATCATGAGTTTAAAACTATGTCTCACCTCCTTGAGGATGCATTACAGTCTGGTCTAACACCACTATACTCCTTTCTTCGCCATTAAATTGAGTCTCATATATCCCTAGCACATTTCCCCGGCAGGAAAACTGGTAAGTATCATCATAATACAAATGAATGGTGGAGAAAGACTTTATAGGGACCTCGCCACTCACAGCAGCCATGTTTAGTGAATAAACGGGTGTGGTCACATGGCACACGTGCCTACACGTGTTCGAGACATACGATTGATATGAGGAAGAAAACTGAAAATAAAACCAAGACTAAAAGACTTGGTAAGCTCTGGTTTCAGGGTTGAAATTTTACTTATTTGTTGTATAGGTATTTCATGTAAAAGGACTCATACACAGTCATAGGGTAAATTTTTGATGTGATATAATTATTAATTAACTGTTGTTGTATAGTCCATGAAATATATTACCGTAGGGCGCCTTTTTTTCAAGGGCTATAGGTTTCATGGATTTTAATTTTGCAGATTTAATTTTTGCGAATTTATGCTGTCTGCCATCTTGTACTGTATTAATTTGATTTTCGCGGAAGTAATTTTCACAGCCCTCGAAAAAAGTCACCCTATGGTAGTTAAAATGCATGAATGTCACACTATTTACAATATGTGTTGATCTATTTAATTTGTGGAGAGTGGTATGCAACCATCAATTATTGGCCTGTTTAGAGCAAAAATAGCAATGTGATGGCCCAGGTCAGGGCTGCTGAGAGCCTTGGTGGGGCCTGGGTATGAAATTTGTGGTGTGCAAAGTGTGCCAAAAATCTTTTCTCCTTTAATTATATTGATAGTGGGTGTAGTCCAAATTAATTAATTTTTACCTTTGTGCAGCACAACATGTACATGTGTATTTTTTGTCTATTGAATGTGAAATAGCTAGGAAGTTTGTTTCATTAAGTTTTAAAGAATTTTATTAGGGCCCTTAAAAATTGTGGGGCCTAGGGCATTTGCCCCTTTTGCCACCTTTTCACAGTTTTCAGTGGCCCTGGCACAGGTCAGTATTTTCAGAAATTGGCATATTTAAAAAAATGCTCATAACTCAAAAAATTAGCTGGTCAGGTTCAGCTCAAGCTTATTCTACATAGCATTAAGATACCAGAAAAAGGTTTTTGGAAAAAGCCATAAACCTAATTTTAAACAAATACTTGAGGGAATATCATTTGCTTTTATTTTTCTGGCCTCACTGGAATTCACCATAGCTCAGTCACTAGTACACAGTAGAGGAGTGATGGTTGGAATATGGTATGCTTCATGGGGTGTGGGCTATTTTTTCAGTAGTGCTGTACGCTTTTTATATCATTGCCAGAATGAAATTTAACTTCTCCTATTATTTGACAACTGTTATTGTTATTTTTGTTGCAATGGCTAGACGCTACAAGCATTGTGTGAGAGAGAATGAAGTTGATATTGTTTTGATAGTTGATGGTTGTTATCAGAAATACATTGAACAAGATGAAAAGACTCAGTTCTAATGAAAAAGTGTGTAGTTTTATAAAACTTTCTTGTCTTTAATATCCCCTTGATTCTTCATGTCTCTTTCAGTATGAACTGATAAATTATTACAACAACAAATAGCTCTCAACACTTTAAAAGTCATAATCAAATAGGAAAACTAAGAGAGCCAGGAGCGAGAGAGATAGATTCGAACAAAAGAAGGGAGAAAGAGCAAAAGATTAAAAGAAAAAATATATATACATGTATATACAGTACATAATGTGGTCAGTTTAGAATGTCCTGGAAGATACATGTGCATGTTACATAACAAAAGATATTTAATAGTTTAATAAGGTGTGTGTGTAACAGTAATAATGAGCACTAAATGGTACATCTCCCACATCTCTCTTTCTCTTTCTTCCTGTTGTAGTTATGTAGTGTTGTATCTTTTATATTTCAGTTCTTAGTGTATATACTATAAATTGCAACTTGAGCTTTCTATTTGCCTATGAAACTAAAAGTTCCTAAATGTTTTCTTTTGGGATGAGCAACTTGCTATCAACATTTGGAACAAGAGATTATGATGAAAATTTATAAGTAGCCTCTATTCTATTATAATGATCATGAAATAAGTAGCTGTATAATAAACTATTTTATTTGCCTTGCCACATTGGCAGTGTTCTAGATGTCCTATGCTAGCAGGTGGTATATAGGATGCATGTACATGTAGGTATGATAATATTATTTTAAATGATGTCATGTGTATTGATTCACGAAGTATAAACTTTCAATATTTTAATTTGCTGTTGCATAAAATGAGAGTGATATTGAGTATAACGTAGAGTCTATAAAGATTATTTTATAGATGATGTCTAAGAGAATGCAGGCAATTATTATTACTTCTTATTCAGCTGTGTTGATTCTCTGCTGGGATTACCTATTAAACTTTGAACTGGATCTCAATATGTATTATGTAAAATCTGTTCTGAAAAGTGAATATATTTTATATGGGCATGCTATTGCATTCTTCCTTTTTCTACCCTTTCCATTTTTTGGATTATTAGCTGATTTATGGATGGGAAGATATAAAACTATATTGATTGGTATGATATTGTGTTTCATTTCATGGATAGTGTTTGGGATAAGTTTCATTGTGCAAAGCTGTGATTATTCTAAGGAATTATTAAGGACCATTTATGGCATAGGATCTTTTATTCAATTTGCTGGTGCAGCTTGCTTTAATGCTAATGTTATTCAATATACCATTGATCAACTAGTGGGAGCTTCAGCTTATGAACTGAATACTGTGATATACTTGCACTGCATTGTATTACCGGCATCAACAATGGTTTTTGGTTTAATCAGTTGTTTAAATCCTGGTACATATTTTGAGTTAATCTTATTCATAGTGTCAGGAGTAGCTGTATCTATTGTATTGGTATCTCACTGATGCTTTAAACATAAACTGGAGAACATATCACTGATACAGAATCCCATCAAACTGATAGTTAGAGTATTGTGTTATGCCAGGAAGCACAAGTATCCTGAGAATCGTAGTGCTCTGACCTACTGGGAGGAAGAGGCTCCTTCAAGACTAGACTTGGGTAAAGAGAAATATGGTGGACCATTCACAGTGGAACAGGTAGAAGATGTGAAGACAGTATTTTGAATGCTACCACTATTCATTGTAAGTGTTGGAAATGCTATTAGCCAAGATTTTAATGGTTTTTTTAACAGTAATACTATATCAATGGCTTGCTTTCAGTCAAACAACTTTATTAATGGTACATGTTCTTTTTTACTTTTTTTATTCTATCTTTTTTTCATCAAACTTTTTTTCTTAAAGTGGCTTCCCAGTATGCTATTTTGTATGACAATTGGCCTATTTCTTTCATTGTTAGCTGTCTCTTTTAAAATACTATCATTGGTTGATACCTGGTATGATTTTATTTCTGAGATTCTTTCAGGTGTATCATATTTCTTAATCAATCCAGCTTTACTTGAGTTTACTATAGCTCAATCGCCAATGCATAGCAGAGGAATGATGGTTGGTGTATGGTATAGTTCATGGGCAATAGGTTATATATTTAGTAGTTGCATAAGATATCCTTTTAAATGTCAAAATCACTACCTCTGCTCTGATTTCTATTATTATCTTACTCAAGCTGTCCTACTTTTTGTTATTTTGATAGTGTTTCTGTTTCTTGCTAAACACTATAAGTATCGCATTAGAGATAATGAAGTCAATATTTATTAGATAGTTGATGGAACATATCAGAATTACTTAAATCAAGAGAGAGAGTATAACCAAGGATGCAGTGTGACTACAGATCATAATTGACAATTTGATGTAATGGCACATTGTTGTGCCATACTTAAACTTTCATTATTATTCTTTATATTTACTAAATGTAGTATCAGCACATCACCTATATAAAATTGAAACTTTGTATGACAACAATATAGACCTATTTTATTAATTAAAAGATGATATCAATAATTAGCACAATACCTTCTGTATGAATTATTGTCAATACTAAGAACTCTACAGCAACATAATGATCATTAGCTGACTGAAGTGAAATGTGGATGAGGCATTAACTTGGGCCTCATCTCACCATCATTTTCTATTTTGTGTGTCCACCACAGCAAATAAAGCACAGGCATGTGCTCCTAACTCCTAGAGAGGGTGAGATAATTACATTAGGAGATCTTTTTGTAGCAATAGAATAGAGTGTTTGACACAGGGAATAATACTGTAGCTACTAGGCCATGTGAAATATGAGCTGGTAGTTGTCATTCCGTGATTCAGTGCATTTTTGCAATACGTTTGATCTCAAGTGATATTACTTGTGTACACTGACTTATACAATGGATAGTATGCTATGATTGTCGTTATAATAACTTTTCACTTTCACAATGATAGTCAGTTGGTTTTCTCATGGCTGCAATAGGTATAAGGTGGCTTAGGAAGTGGTGGTCATTGTTCATCATTTCTTCTTCTTCAGCTGTCTTGGTACTTGTTTGGGACTATGTAATGTATCTTCATGATTATTCTATCAGAAAGTTTACCCTTGAGAGCTTAGATGGGCCTTTCCTTTATGGAATGGCTGCATTAATATGCATTGGATTTATCTCTTTTCCTTTATTTGGGCTCTTGGCTGATGTATGGATTGGAAGGCATAATGCAATACTTATTGGTATAGTGCTGTGTTTTTTATCATGGATTGTGACTGGCCTAGGATACATATCTTACTTCTACTATATCTCTGAAGTGTTTCTTATGTCAATATTTATTGTTATGGTTTTGTTTGAAGCATCTGGTTTTGCGATTTTCAAAGCAAATATTGTTCAATACAATATAGATCAGCTAATAGGAGCTCCTGCTGATGAGCTACACTCTGTCATATACTGGCATTGTGGATCAGTGCCACTGGTAGGAGCACTATCATCGCTAATGAAGTACATGATAAGTAAGGAATACTTTGAATTAGTGACATTCATAGTGTCAGGAGTAGCTGTATCTATTGTATTGATATCTCACTCATTCTTTAAACATAAACTGGATAATGTATCTCTTATCAAGAATCCCATCAAACTGATTGTTAGAGTATTGTGTTATGCCAGGAAGCACAAGTATCCTGAGAATCGTAGTGCTCTGACCTACTGGGAGGAAGAGGCTCCTTCAAGACTGGACCTGGGTAAGGAGAAATATGGTGGGCCATTCACAGAAGAAGAAGTTGAAGATGTGAGAACAACC